AGCATATTTTGATTTGATTCGATTTGAAGACGCGACAGACCCAGCAGAAGCTGGAGAAGTAGGGTGGACCAGGAAATGCGAGACAGGGGCTTGAACGAGGATGCCTGGATTGACAAAGATTGTAGGAGATCGGGAATCGGGAGACGTAGAACGTAATAGACCAATAATTCTATAGCTTTATAATACTTCTGAATATACTCACTCTATGCATATTTAGCTAGCAAGAAATGCAAGGATAGGAGTGAATGTCTCTTGTTGACGTCACACAACTCGATAAAGTAAAAACCCACCATCTACAACGTGTAATTTGTAGCCAAAATAAATTTTATCATTGATTGGAAAAATAAAGCATAAAAACTCGATTTTTTTATTTTCTCGATTTAACCTTCATATAAACTAAAACCAGATAGGGGGCCAGTTCAAACCGAAAGTATTGCCGCTAATTTTTATCAGATATCTTGGTAGGTAACTAATATTATTATTTGGAATATGTAGTAGCGTTGAGTTGACATTATCTTGTATTTTAATCGACGAATTAGCTGCTCGAAGGAAAGTAGGTAGTTTTTTTTTGCGCTGAAACATCATATGGTTGAAGTTTTGGCCAATGAAGCCAACTTATAAACTTTTTGGTATCCGCCGTGTGTGAAATCTTTGTAGATATTTTGAATTTGAACATCTTAAAAAAATATACAGAGTGAGTTTTAAGTATAGAACGTCTCAATTAGCTGGAAAACGGCTTGCACGATTTTTATGAATTTTGGTTTGAAAGAGTATTGCAATATGGCCGATAATACGGTGGTATTTACAAAATATCAGAAGCTTTGTTTTTTCAAATGGATCACCCTGTATATTATGACATTTCTGGGTTCTGCGGAAAATTCTGGACATATTCCATGCACAATGTCATATACCTATCTTCAACTGTTTCGGAAATATTGACAGTTGAAAATTGACTTTTTTGCATCTTTGACAGACTGTAAAACCTAAACCGTTGATTTTAGAGCAAAACCGATCATATTAAAATTCTTATCTTAGTTTTTCATAAACTATCATTTGACACTAACTTTGAATTTAATCCATGATTGAAAAGTTCGGTTAAATTTAATCTCCGGTTAAATTCATAGTTGGTCTCAAATGATAGCTTATGAAAAGCTCCAGACGAAAATGTAAAATCGGGTTCGCTGTAAAATTAGCCGTTTAGGTTTCAGAGCCTGTAAAAGTTGCAAAAAAGTCAATTTTCAACTGTCAATATTTCCCTCGATATTTCCGAAACAGTCGAAGATAGGTATATGACATTGTACATGATATATGTCTAGAATTTTCCGCAGAATCCAAAAATGTCATAACATATAGGGTGATCCATTTGAAAAAACAAAGTTGCTGATATTTCCCGGAAAACGGAAGATCTGACAACTATGTAAATACTACCATATACACGACCGTATTGTATTTGTATTCAAACCAAAATTCATGAAAATCGTGCAAGCCGCTCGAGATAATTGAGATGTTCCATAATTGAAACTCACTCTGTATGTATTCACCCACACAGCTTAGAAACCGTGAACGTGTCGATACACAGCGCCGATGCTAACCCTAACTTCCCTTGCCTATAACTCACGCCGAAAATATTAGAACTACGTGAAAAACTGTTTGAGCCATTTCGATAGAGAATTCACTTGTCCTCAACTTTGGTGGTGGATGTATTTTTTCGGTGGGACCATTGAGAGCCGGGATATAGGCAAACAAATGATTTTCAAGCGATATTGGTCAAAGAGAACCTATTTGGGAGTTGGATATATTGCCCTATTTAAAACGGGTTTTAGTGAACTGGGTTATTGTTTTTATGGATAAAACAAGAAGTGTCTAGAGGATCCTGGTACCATTTGAGGAACTGATAGGGAGTTTCAGCAACTTTGTCTAAAAAATTGCAAACTCCTGAATATCTATAATATAGAAAAAGCTTTTAGTTTTAATAAGTTAATTGATTTAGGTTTGGGAACGTTTGTAAGTTTTTTGGCATCCGTTTGCAAGAAAGAAAATTCCCCACGCGTCCTTTTTGCTTATTTTTTAAAAATCATAGACACGGAGATTACAAGTAGGCAAAGCAATGAAGGAAGTTCACCTCAACATGATTCAAAGTTAATTTTTTTTTGGGGGGATCGATCCATTTTCATGTGCTTAATAACATATTAAGTTTGCCTTTGTACTTCCATAGGGTTTTTAGTTAGTGGTGTTTTTAGGGGTAATTTGCGGTTTATGGAGAACGCTGCTCAAAGGGATGGTCCAATAGCAAAAAGTTTCAAATGATTGCTGTAGCTGAGGTTTTTTGCTATAAAAAACTCCGCGACAGCACCCCTTTATCTTCTATAGTCTTTTTTCTGCAGAGTCTTAAATAGTAGCATGTTTTTGTTCAAGGTCACTGAATCAGCGTTTCGCCTGTTTGAGCGCATTTGGTGCAGCAGCGGCCGAATGCATAATCTGATTTCAATTATTCAAATACCACATTATTGCTAATGAAATGCACTCTCCAATGCTTTTTTGTTCGAATTTTTGGCTTGAAAATTAGGCGAGCACGGATTCGCCTAATGTGCTAGAAAGTTGTAAATTGCATCGAAAATTACTCCTTTCTTGCATTCTTCTAAACTGGGCCAAATATTTGGTGATAAATTTCGACATTCGGCAGCCTATTTATTCCTCTCATAATGCCCCAGCCGATTTTTTTTCGGTAATTACTCAATGACTTATTCGCCTGAACACGTCGCGCGGAATTTTTCAAAAAGTCAAAAAAAATCAAAATTGTCGCACAGCGCTGAAATTTGGTACGATGGCTTTATTTATTGTTCTCATAAATATAGCTAAGCCAGCAGTCATGTGAAGCAATTGATATTGCAGTATATTTATGAGAACAATAAATAAAGCCATCGTACCAAATTTCAGCGCTGTGCGACAATTTTTTTTTTTTTACTTTTTGAAAAATTCCGCGCGACTTGTTCAGGCGGATAAGTCATTGAGTAATTAACGAAAAAAAAATCCACTGGGGCATTATGAGAGGAATAAATAGGCTGCCGATTGTCGGAAACTGTCACCATATATTTTGCCCCGTTTAGAAATAACAGTGAATGCAAAAAAGGGGTAGTTTTCGATGCAATTTACAACTTTCTAGCACATTAGGCGAGTCCATGCGGGCTTAATTTTCAAGCCAAAAATTCGAACAAAAAAGCATTGGAGAGTGCATTTCATTAGCAATCATGTGGTGTATGAACAATTAAAATCGGATTATGCATTCGGCCGCTGCACCAAATGCGCGCAATCAGGCGAAACGCTGATTCAGTGACCTTGAACAAAAACATGCTACTATTCAAGACGCTGCAGAAAAAAAACCATGGAAGATAAAGGGGGGCTGTTATAGTTTTTCATAGCAAAAAACTTCAGCTACAACAATCATTTGAAACTTTTTGCTATTGGACCATCCCTTTGAGCAGCGTTCTCCATAAACCGCGAATTCCCCTTAAAAACATCCCTAACTAAAAACCCTATGGAAGTACAAGGTCGTAAACTTAATATGTTATTAAGCACATGAAAATAGACTGATCCCCACAAAAAAATGTTAATTTCTAATTATGTTGAGATAAACCCTCTTTTCAGATCACCGTTTCTTGGACTAAAGCTCTAGACAAAAATTTTAAAATTGGAACTTAAATTGGCGTTGTGGTATCCCAAGTGAAAAATTTTGAATCACGCATGTCTTGCGCTTTTCAGTTCTATTGAATGGAATATCTGCTCAAAAGCTGGTTGAAAAGTTTAACACCTTTCTGAATCGAGCGAAAAGATACCTACTCAAAAGCTAAAAAAATATTCTTCAAAGTGTTCTTATTGCATATGTACCTTATCCCATCCATTAAGACTTTTGATGATTGACAGATATCAGTCAGTCAACCAATATTGTCCCTATTTAAAAGTTCATGGATCTATGAAAGAGTGTTTAAAATAATTATTGTAATTTTTTGTTGACATAAGCTCTATCGTTGGTCCATATCTCAATCAGCTGTAGATAATCAAGAAAACATATTTGAAGGCTTTTGCATAAGAGGCCGAGGCCATTACTTTTTGGCAGATTTTAGTTAAATTCTGAAGAATAAGCAATTTGGCTTCGATAAAGTTGGTACCTATAAAACTTATTGCTGTCTAGTGATACCTACCCTTTAAGCCTATTTGGAGAATTATTTCTTAATTAAATATTTGGCTTATAATTTAAACCGTTTTCGCATTTGGTTAGCAAGTGCTCTGAAACTTCTTCAAATTATTTTTCTGTTGAAAATCAGAATGAGAAAATATATCTAAAGTAAATGTATGGATTGAAAGAACATAAAAATTCAATGTTTAGGGTTTAGGCTTTCATACATCTCTAGACATCATATGTACAAATTATATTTGAGTTAATAATTATCGTTTCTTCAATTCAAGAATTATGTACCTACCTACAATTTTCATAGGATCGTGTGCGTTTTAGACGTGATGTGATCGTTTAAAAAATTATTCTTTCCGTGGATTTTTATATGGAAATTACTGGTATATTTTGGCAAAATTTACTCCGTGATAAAAATTGAACCTTATTTGTATCGAAGCATTACATAGGTACATATACTGATATTGTAATAGATACGAAACTAAATGAGCTACTCGGATAATATTATGGTAGACAATATTGAACCCTGAATTTAGAATCCTAATGGGTATTTATGCCTAGAATAAATTTTCTAAAGTTTTATTTGAAATTATTATTAATTAATTCAAGGTCATACATTTTTAAAGCTATAAGCAATTATAAACAAATAACATGCTTGAATCAAAACTGTCGCACACACCGAATTTTATTATGTACATACACCGAAATAATAATAAAAATAAGGCAAAAAAACTGGCAGGCTATCAAAAAAATTACCTGTCTTACGCTCTAGAAAACTATAATGTATTATTAATAACAATATCTGCGCACTTACCGGTAGTTTTCAGCAGTAAACGGTTGTTAAATGCGACTGCAGGGCAAGGCCTCCGCAGTTAAGACTGAAGTTTCAAAATCATGGCAAAACTTTATATAGTACCAGATCAAACAATGTGTTATGATCGCTAAGTAAACACACATGTATGCTCTAAAAATGCTGCCTTTAAATTAATTATCATTTAGCAACAATTAGACTAAATTGAAATGAGTATCATCTCTTAGTATTAAATGTTGTGATGGTAAATTGGGGCTCCTTTGTTTTGGGACCTGATTGATTTTCCCGAAATGACGACTTGCGTAATAATTTGTCATCATTTTGAGATATAAAATAATTTTCGTAATTAATACCTACCATTAGCGCAGAATACGATAAATTAAACATGTCCCAGAAAAAAATACAAAATGAATTTTGTACTCAATAAATAATTATGAAATTATGTGTAATCTTACAACGCACCCGGATGAAAGTTTTTGATGGGACTTTGGAGTAATTTAGGAATCCTTCAAAAATGGAAAGTTCGACAACGAGTGTTACATATTTCTTGGTTTTAACTGAAACTCCAACCAGACACTGCTTTTTGTGACATTTGAGTGTTTATCAAAATTTTCTGTACACTTCATCGCTAGTCCTCAGCTGAACAATATTTGTATATATGAGCCGCGATAAGCGGCGCTGATTTTGGCGGTTGAGGAAAGTAACAATCCCAGTGTTAAAAGTCTGTACAGGAAGAAAATATTATCAGAGAATAACCACTCGAGACATTTTTTTTCCCAGTTTTCCTTAATTTTCTTGCTTGCCAATAAACTCAACTGACCTGACTCAGCTCTCGATTTCCCTTGATTTCAAGCTTTGAAAGGCTTGTAGAAAAATCCCCAAAAATTGGGAGATGGGAGAGGGAACAAAAGCATAGCAAAAGAGAGGGAACAAAAGCATAGCAAAAATTTGATTTCATCAATTCATATATCAATGGATATGACATTGTACATGAAATATCTCTAGAATTTTCCGAGGAACCCAGAAATGTCATAATATACAGGGTGATACATTTGGAAAGCAAAGTTTCTGATATTTCCTGAAAAACGAAAGATCTTACAACCATGTAAATATTACTTTATTATCGACCATATTACAATACTCTTCCAAACCAAAATTCATAAAAATCGTGCAAGCCGTTTTCGAGATAATTGAGACGTTCCATATAGACCCTGAGATAGGGCCTGTTTAGTGGAGTCATTTTTTTTTTGTCTGGCATTTTGAGGGATGAATGTGACTAGTTAGCTGATGAGAATATAAGTGGTTTTAATGCCTGCCTCCTGTTCGAAATGTCCACAGAATGTTTCGCCGGAAAACTCGATTTCGAACTGTGATTACCGTCTGGCGATTTTTCAGCGTTATTTTCACAACAAAACCTTTCATTCTCTCGATTGCCAGGCAAAAAGTAAACGCGGAAGGTTCTTTTCTTTTCTCTTGGAAGTTGACACCCATCCCCATTTTTTCAGCTATTGAAAAGCATCTGATATTTTTCATGGGTGAATTATTTATCTATGTCAATCTTTTATTTAAATGCTAGAAAATTTGAGATCATTAAAAAAAAATTCTTCATGTAAATCAATTTTTTTCTTCTGCAAATTTTCGAACGGGAGGCCGGCATTAAAATCACCCATATTCTCATCAGCTTAGTAGCCACATTCAGCCCTCAAAATGCCAGACAAAAAAAAATGACTCCACTAAACAGCCCCTATCTCACAGTCTAATACTTAAAACTCACTCTGTATGTTTCTCTAAATTCCAAGTGGCTAGCTTTTTCTCCTAAGATGGTTATAATAGTTTTTTATGCTTAATCAATTGTTTAGCTAGTTTTATGGCATTTTTTAATGTGCCTAAAACTTCTGTAAACTTCCAACTTTTCATAAATTTATTTCTTATTATAGGTTCCTACTTAATGCCTGCTGGCGGAATTAACTTATATTCAAGGATAAAATAGAGATAAGCAATCAACTTTCATTGTAATATCCTTTTCTTTTGTTTTTTAGAAAAATCTAGCCAACAAATATTATTTTAAAAACTTTAAGGGGAAATAGGCGTTTACTAAGTTTTGAAGTGCATTAGTGCAATAAAAAATTGTATCGTTCATTACTCAGATGAAATTTAACCCTTTTGTATCGTTTGGATCAATTTACTTTAGGAATTTTCTGGAGCTTAACTAAAGCATAATGTAAGTTTGACTTTTTCAGGTCGGGCTAGTGTCTTTTTACTATTCTTTTATAAACCGGATGAGAAAAATTCACGCCCAAAAGGTGTAATTTCCATGAAATCTGAATCTAGCTAGCTTGCAGAATTTATTTCTCTTATCTGCTTTATTCAAAACTTGAGCTTCTTTCTTCTCCTACAATACCGGGTGCTCACGAGATTACTTTCCGGCTGCCATTTTTTTATTTGTCTATCGATATCAACAAAACTTGGTAGGGTTGATATTCTAACCAAACGCCATTTTTATGCATCTATGACAAGTTTTCCCGACTTCCGGTTTTACCGGAAATGACCGATACTTTTAATTTTTAAATGGCACACCCTGTATATTTTTCGTTTTTCGGATTCTACAGATCGTTTTACGTCCTAATGCACCACTTTTGAATAGAATTTTGTCCAAATTTTTTTTTTTTTAATTAAATTTCAATTTTTTAACTAGAGTATCAGAGAAACCAAGTACCTCAAATTTTACCTGCAGCTCTCACCTGTACAGGTAGAATGGTTCACAAAATCAGTAGTAGGATAGTAATTTTACAATTTTTGGAGCCAAATATATGAGAGATTGCTCAATCAAATATAGATCGCGGCATTGTGCTCTTCAAGAATATAGAATGAAATATAGGGCATCCCATTTGAAAAAAGCTGGAAGCGTGCAAAATTTCACATTTCTGACATTCAAATTTTGTTTCTGACCATGGTTTTTAAAAATTCAGCCAAAACTGTCCAACTTTTGTATGTATACCTTTCTTCTACCTGTGAAGGTAAAGGCTGTAGGTGGGGTGTCAATATATGTACAGTGACCGCCAAAAAGTTTGCAACAAATGGGAAAATATTTTATTATTAAGATATCAAAAAAAATGTTACGTGGGATCAATTCAGCATACCCATCAACAAAAAAAATCACTGTGACAGATGTCATGTGATCACAGTCATGGCGGCAAATTTAAAAAGTTCGCCTTAAATATGTGGAAAGTGGGGTTAGACGACCAGAAATCGAAAAATTGTAGAGAGAAAAGTGGTTCAGGATTCGAGTTTACGTCCAAGTGTCAACTTTTAGACGGGTACAAGGATTTTTTAAAAATATCAATTTTTTGGCCTGTTTTCTGGTAATTTCAAAAATATCAAAAATTTTCCGCCTGGTTCACATAGGTAATTCAAAGTTAAACTAACAAAAAAAAATCCAGTGCGGTAATTCTGCTTAATTGTCCCGCGACAAATTGTAAAAAACCAAAAATTCATTTTCAGACCACTCTGATCTTGTTGCAATGACCTACAGAAAACAAAAATTTGGTATAACAAATTTAGAATTATCATGAAAACATTCTAAATGATCCAATACCTCTTTTCTAAATTTAATCAAGCCAATATTTTTGTGAAATGTTTTCGATATTTTTCAAATTACCAGGAAACAGGCCAAAAATTGATATTTATTAAAAATCTTTGTACCTTTTTAAAAATTGACACATGGACGTAAAATCGGATCCTGAACCACTTTTCTCTCTACAATTTTTCGATTTCTAGTCGTCTAACCCCACTTTTCGCATATTTAAGGCGAACTTTTTAAATTTGCCGCCATGACTGTGATCACATGACATTTGTCACATTGATTTTTTTTGTTGATGGGTACGCTGAATTGATCCCACGTAACATTTTTTTTTGATATCTTAATAATAAAATATTTTCCCAATTGTTGCAAACTTTTTGGCGCTCACTGTATAAGAAAACACCCTGTATACAAATAAGTGGATTATTGCGGAACTTATGGGTGGACCTCTGCGGGACGAGCGCAGCGAGTTCCGCAGCCATCTAATCACCAATATACTATTGAACTGAAACATGAAGTTTTTAAACTAATGAGAATAACTCACATTTGACTGAGTCAGGTTAGTATCGTAATTAAACAACATATTGATGAATAGATGGCTGCGGAACTCGCTGCGCTCGTCCCGCAGAGGTCCACCCATATGTTCCGCAACAATTCACTCATTTGTACTTGAATAACTTGTCACATTATGTTACTAGTTTGGTAAAGTAACATTACTAATTCCTGTTAAATTGACAAAAAGTGGATAATCTTACAAATTCTGACCTTATATAATAAGTTATTGTTCAAGTACAGGTTGTTTTTTTATATATTCATACCCCACCTACAGCCTTCACCTTTACAAGTAGATGAAAGCTGTAAATACAAAAGTTGTACAGTGTCAGTATTGGCTAAATTTTTAAAATCCATGGTCAGAAACAAAAATTGAATGTCAGAAATGTGAAATGTTGCATGCTTTCAGCATTTTTCAAATGAGATGCCCTATATTTGGTTCTATATTCTTGAGGAGCACAATTTTCCGATTCCAAAACTATATAGTTTGTCTCTATTTGGTTGAGCCGTCTCCAACATATTTGGTTCTAAAAATTTCAAAAATACTATCAGCTTCCACCTGTATAGGTAGAATGGTTCACAAAATCAGTAGTAGGATAGTATTTTTACAATTTTTGGAGCCGAATATATGAGAGACTGTTCAATCAAATACAGACAAATTATATATTTTTGGAATCGGGGCATTGTGCACTTCAAGAATATAGAATGAAATATAGGGCATCCCATTTGAAAAAAGCTGAAAGCATGCAAAATTTCACATTTCTGACATTCAAATTTTGTTTCTAACCATGATTTCTAAAAATTCAGCCAAAACTGTACAACTTTTGTATTTACACCTTTCTTTTACTTGTAAAGGTAAAGGATGTAGGTGGGGTGTCAATATATAAAAAAACACCCTGTACCTACCTTTTTAAAATCACCTTATTCTCCTAAATAGTTCCCCCATTCCCATATTTTTATGGACTATTCCTCCGAAAAACCGTATCTCGCACAATGCGCTGCCAAAACTCACCCAAACTAACCCAATCTAGCTTACTTTAACTTAAACTGCCCCCCCCCCTTTCAACAGGCCTGTATCCGCCCCTGCATAACATTACTAAATGCAGTATTTTGAAGGGAATCCAACGGTGTAATACACTATGACATTTTTTTAAATTTTCGTTCAAATATTTTTGTTTTATTATGTAGGAAATGCCTTTTTTCTACTTAAAATTTAATCTGAAAACGAAATTTGGACAAAGCTCGATTTAAAAGTGGTACATTAGGTCCATTAGGACGTCAAACGATCTGTAGAATCCGAAAAATAAAAAATATACAGGGTGTGCCATTTGAAAATCAAAAGTTTCGGTAATATCCGGTGGAACCGGAAGACAG